TGGCAGCTTGGAGAATTCCTGTACTGTAACGTTCTTATAATTGCAGTGACCTAGAGCTGATGGAGCATTCATCTGGTTGTAACGTTTTGTCACTGAAATATGTTGATTACAATAGTCAAGGTATATCTCTGCTTATAAACTTGTCTGTGAAATTCTTTTGAGGTTAGTCATTTTGGTGAGATTGGAAACATGCAAAAATTAAGTTATTCAGCCATTTGAATACAGATAATTTCTGTGGAACATTTGGAATTCTGAAAGTACTTGTCTCAACAAAACTAAAAGAAAACATTTAGCTCAGAATTCTGAAATTTTTGCTTAACTTGTGTGTGATGAAATTATATCCTGCCGTGTCAGTTGCATTTTCTCCACAGATGTTAAGTTCTGCACTGAGAGCCTCCCCTGAGATGATAATCACTCTGTCAACTCTCTAATAAGAAAATTATCATGGAGAATATCAGGTTTTTCCTATCCTACTCCGGGCCTTGGTTGTGTGTAATCTTGATGTGTTGACAGGCTCCTCAGAGTTGAAAGTTTTTGGATGTCAGATTTGTTTTGCAGCAAGAAAGTCCATTTTACCTCCTCTCACAGGACTCACTGCCTATCTGGCTTCAGAGTAGGAGGATGTACATGACTCAAAATTCTGCACTGTTCAGGCTGTCCTGACATTTCCTCCCTCCAATCATGAAAAGCCTTCTGCTTTGGCACCCAGCTTTGATCTAGGTTCTCTGTATTCCAAATATACATCGTCAGTCTGCGTTTCCTATATTTAAAATCTGTAGCATAGTACTAGGGTATGCTGGCATGATTACACAAAAGGTGCAGTGATTGGAAGCTCTGTCACAAATACTTAGCAGCATGATGATAATGCATATTACTCTGTCTGCAGTATTAGTCAGGAAGTGGTCTCAAATCAAAATCTGTAATTTCTTTAAATACTTTTCAGTTGCTTCTGCATCTATGAGCCACTCTGTTCTCTTCCAGTTCAAAGAAAAGCTGGTAGCTTTTAACTATTTGTACTAAAGCAGAAGATAACACATGTTATACAAAGTCACTTGCTTGTGGTTATTAAAAATGGACAATTTTTGGATGGAAGCTTGTGGTTTAGAGCCAACTCACCATTCAGTGAGCATTCTCATTCAGTGTTCAGTACCTCTGTGCTTTCTAAAGAGTTTCTAACTGTATTATCTGAAAAGCTGGACCCCTTCTGAGTGCTAGCGCTGCTGCAAGTGCTGTCTGTTGCATTAGTCATGCCCTTCTTGCTGTCACTTTGTGCCTCTCACCAACTGATTGTCTTCCTCTGTATAGTTCAACTGTGAGAGCAAACAACAGGCTTTTGTGGGTGCCTTTCCCAATGAAATGTTAATCTAACTCCACCTAATTGCTGTAGTAATTCAATATAAATGTTATGAAGCCACATCAATGCCTAAACAGCTTTTCCCTCAGATGCTTTGCTGCTTTTGAAAAGTGCTTTTTTACTCTCAGGAGGCTTCATCCAAGGTTAAGGAGTTTTTGGAGAAGCTTGAAGTCATTTGCTATCTAGCTTGAAAGAAGCATGTATAAGAGCAGTGCCTCCTGTTCATTTTTGGACTGGTCTAGGCTTAATTAAACCTATGTTGCTTAGATTTGAATGTTTAATTATTAGCAGGATTAACACTGGTCACTCCTCATTTAAAATAATGTGAGTCACCGTTTAGCCTCTGAGTGATGATTTTAGGGTTTCTTTAGTTATTCTGAAACCTTTTCTCATCATATCTTGTTTTCTTCTAGCTAAATGAAGTGTAAGGAGTGTGAATACACCAGAGAGAAAATAGGTGGCCTAGGTTTCTTACCTAGAGAATAGGTTCTAAGATAGGTCTTTGTGCAATAACTCCACAGCAGAAAAACCTTGCTAGATGACACCATTCACATAGTTTTGCATTAAAAAAAAAGTGCATTTTGTTGCAAATCAGGCTGAGGTTCCTTACCTTAACTGCAAAGCCTTTTATTACACATAGCTACAAGGCTCGCTTCCTTCCTTAGGCTCACCAGCCTGTCACAAGAAACCCTGTTGGCTCAGCAGAAGGGACTAGTCCCAGTACAGGAATGTTGCAAAAACAGGGAAACTTTTTTGACTGACTGATGTCCATAGAAAAACTTAAGGATAAATCTAATGGACTTAACTTTCATTTAAGATCTTTTCTCCAAGAAGCCATAAAGTAAAAATAAACTATGTATGGTCAGAGAGATCATAGAAACAAGTGCATCTTTTTTTGCAAGCTGTATGAAAGAACCAAAGCTGTCTAAAGCATCATGACAAGGATTGTTTCTGTGTGCTCCAGTGAGGGTGTGTGCATCTCTTAAAGGCTGTACTCTTCCAGTATGTAGAGAACTGAGGTGCAGCAAGGGGCCGTATGGGCAAAGTAAGTAAAAAACAGATCAGTTAAGTCCAGAGGTCTTTCTACTTAACTTTCTGCTAACACATGGAATTGCATGATTAAAGGACGGTGATGAATGCTGTTCCTTACAGTGAATTACTGGGATCCTCTCAGCATGATCTGGCTCAGCTCTAGTTATTCCTTTCAGATGAAGTTTCAGAAATTACCTAATGTTTGACAAATCTGGAATTTGAAGCAATCACCACTTCCTCTGGCAGGGAAATCAGCACGTAACTTCAGACTTTGCAGTTGGCTTTTCCGAATCTCTGGAGGTTCACAGAACACTAACACGTGGAAGCTCTTGAATGTGTCTCTGCTCTTAGCAGCTGTCTTGTACTTCTCTTTCAGCACTTCTGTATCTGTTTGTTTTTTTTAATGTAAAGAGTTTTCCCAACAGTAAGAAGGGCACAAAATTTATGTGGCAGCAATGGTAACTACAGTCCTAAAATGAGCAATACACTTCATAGTGAAATATGACCAGCTGCCCCAGCCATATGAGACTGGTGATTCTTCATAAGCTTGTTTTGATGAATTTTGAAGGTGTCCCTGATAAAGTGCCAAAAATGAACAGAGACTTTACTACAAGAGAACTCTCTTCGTTTTTTTGTTTCTTGGTTATAAAGCCACCTGAAGTCAGACCAACGTGGCTGTTTTCACCTCTGACTGGAAACCTCAGCTGAGCCATTTAATTGAGGTTGATTGTTGCCTTCTTGGGTAGTGATGTGATGCCACCTTTCAGGTTGATTGACCTCTTGCTCCACAGCAGAAGCACCTGTAAATAGTAGGTCTAGACAAAAGACTTACCTAACACTGCAGGTGCTATTAATGTCATCTGCAGAGAGCCCTTCTTTTGTTCTGGCATTGCTGTTTTGACACAAACCTTTTCTTTTGACAGAAAATGTCATTTAAAAATCTTTCCAGAGAGTATTTACTTTGTTCCATATCTCTTTTTCCCCAGTGAGATGCATGGGAAAGAGCCTCTTATTTTAACTCATTCTTGTTTCTGTAAAATGGATTCGAAAAACTTGAAACTCCTTGTTTGTCCCTTTTCTTTTGTGCACCTGCACAGCACTGGATTTTTTTAAAATGTAGTATGTTATAACATGTCTGGGATAATGTATAAATACGTAATATGTATTAGTAATATTTCTGGGGCCCCCAACATAGGAAGGACATGGACCTGCTGGAGTGAGTCCAGAGGAGGCCATGAACATCAAAAGGCTGGAGCACCTCTCCTGTCAAGACAGGCTGAGCGAGCTGGGGTTGTTCAGCCTGGAGGAGGGAAGGCTCTGTGGAGAACTTAGAGCAGTCTTCTGGTAACTAAATGGACCTACAAGAAATCTGGAGAGGGATTTCTGACAAAGGCCAGGCAGTGATAGGCCACTACAAGGGACAATGGCTTTAAACCAGGAGAGGTTAGATTTAGATCAGCTATTAGGAAGAAATTCTTCCCTGTGAGGGTGGTGAGGCACTGGAACAGGTTGCCCAAAGAAGTTATGGCTGCCACATCCCTGGAAGTGTTCGAGGCCAGGTTGGATGGGGCTTTGAGCAAATTGATCTGGTGGAAGGTGGCTGGGAGTTTGGAACTTTATAAACTTTAACGTTCTTTCCAACCCAAACCATTCTATGATTCCATGATTCTATGGTGGGTTGGTTGGGTTTTCTTTTTGGGTGTTTTGGTTTGGTTCCCCCCACTCCTTCCCCCCTGTTTTGAATGTTGCAGAATGCCTTGTTTCAGCCCTGCTCTGTGCCTTGCTTTAGCAAAAGTTCCATTAAGAACCTACTGCTGCCTTTTGGCCTAGTGGGTCAGCCTACAAAAAGTTACTCAACAGATTCCTATAATATCAAAGATGCCTTAGATGAGGGTGTAGGCCAAGGCACTGTCAAGTTTGTGGGACACTGGAGTACATCTGCCAAGTGGCAGGAGTGCAAGGCCAGACTGATCAGAGCTGTGGTCCGGTGTCACTTTCTGTATACGCACCTAATCTGGGGTTCCAGAAAGAGGGAGTAGATTTCTCTTCCACCAAACTCCCGGCTATTGTATGCAGGAGATTATTACACCCCCCCCCGGACAAACTATGGGAATTGCAGTTTTGTGGGAATCTGGCCTAGAGAGGAGGGAGAGAGGCCAAAGGGTACCAATCCTGGAGAGCAGGATACCAATTGTGGCTCTTCTGGGGCAGCTCCCTGTGATGACCACCTAATCTGACACAACATAGGAATGATCTAGAAAAGAAGAAGAAAAAAGGAAGATTTGGAGCATTTTTATTTTAATAAAATAAAAAAAATATTAGTCCAGTAGAAAATTCTCAGTGTTTTGCAGGCATTATTAAGTAATTTGCCACCTTTTATTATGTTTAAATATTTTAACCCTTTCACTACCAAATCCACAGTAGTAGATTATTAAATTTCTTATTCTGTCATCATTTAGAATAATCCTTTACGTCTTTGGTTTGGTTTATACACCTAAAAATAGCAGAAGAAGAAGTCAAAAATCCTTTCCTTTGTACTGGCAGCGTTGGAACTGCTGTTTGCTTATGTGGGATTCATAAAGAGGTGCATCAGTCACCTGGGGGGGGGTGGGGGGGTGGTACTTGCTGCGTTATTCCTTCAAGTCGCTTCCTGAGTCACTTCTTGGAAAAGTGCTGCTATTTCTCATGCAATAGCAAAAGACAGCAGAATGGAAAGCTAGAAAAACAAGGTGTGATAAGTTTTAAAGGATAGCACAAACAATAAATGAAAATGATGACCGGTTGGGAACAGAAGCATGAAGGACTAAGACGCGTTTATACTCTTCTAGCTCCCTTTTAAATGAAAAATGGGCACAAAATCCCCTGTGTGCAGATTTGCATGCATGAGAAAAGAGCCTGACTGGGTGAGAAATAGCCCATAGTGCCAATCCTTCACTTGTTAAATAATCGAGACAAAGGCTAAAGAGAGAAATTCATTGTCGGCATAGTCGTACCCAAGCGATTTTGGTGCCAGTTTCCCAGCTGGATTAGGCCCCGCGGCATCTCGACTGTAAAGTGCACCGTGCCCCCTCCCCACTCTGCTCCCGGTCACACCGTTGGACAGATATGACAGACCCGGGTTGAGGCCGTTCTCAGCCGTGACAGGAGACCCCCGCCTCAAGCACGGGGCCGGGCCGAGGCGGCCGCTGCCCGCCAGATGGCAGCAAAGGGCTAGGAACGACGCCGGCCCTGCTCCCGCTACGGCAGTAGAGTAGTGGCCGGAGGCGGCCCGTGGGGGCCCGAAGCCGGCGGGCAGCGGCGGGCCGCGGTTGTGACGGAAACGCCCTTCTGACACCTTGGGAGGTCCGGAGGGCTCGCATGGGCGTGCAGGAGGCTGATGTTCCTCAGGTGGGCTCTGTCTGGTTCTGCGGGAGGTAAAAAGGAATGCCCAATCAGTGTGACACTGAATAATCGCAGTGGCATCAATAACTGTAGTCTTTATATTTTAAAAAAAAACATTCCTTCAAACACATTTTGGTATTCTACCGATCAGGAGTTAGTAAGTTGCAGTAACTAAGGGGTGACCCTTACTTCATACTTCTATACTCCCTGTACACGAGCTCTCCGCAATCCTCCAGAGTTCTTCCTCTCAGTGTGAGAAATTCTGTAAAGACTTTAAAGTGCCTACTTCGTGTTTCTCTGCCTAGTAATTCCTAATGAAGTGTATGAATTCATAATGCATACTGAGATAACATTAAGGTTTGTAGCCTCAAGCAGGAAAAAATAGGATGGTGAATACTTTGCCTTTGCTGATAACTTGATTGGTTGTAAATGGAAGGTCAAAATTCATATGCTTGATAGTGAATTTCTAGCAACTGCCAGCTGCTTCCCAAGACCTCATGTCACTCTACTTACACGTGATTTTTATACTTCTACATTAAAGAATTTATGAGACTTCTGAGTCTCCCTCAGTTAACCATGGGTGAAGATGTGCTGTCTCACAGCCCTTTAATGCTTATGTATCAGTCCATGCTTTTCAAAAGTTGCATAGATAGCTATATATTAGCCTAAATATGATGAGAGCATTTCTGGAGGCTCATCTGAAAATAACAAATTATTTGTTTTAAGAGGATTTCTAACGTATACCTCAATCATACTTTATAGATGGTTTAAAAATATACTTTTTTTTTTCCTTTTCCCCCTTACAGGGAAAGAAATAATGCCACTGTGTAGATATTAACTAAAACTGATGAAACTATTTTCAGAAATTGCTTAGGTGTCTGGAAAGCTCTTATTAGAAGACAAGGATGATGAATAACCACTGTCCTGCATATCTATCTGCTTTTGTGCCATAGCGCTTTTCATTCACAGGCCTCAAAATCCTTTCTTTTCAGCAACTCAGTCACTTTCATGATCCATCTCTTTTATAGACAGTGGTGTCAAATGAGTGACTTGTTACTAACTGGCAGAGCTAACAGGAAATCCTTCTCATAGAGTTTAGGAAGACAGATCTATCTCCCTAGAAATGAAATGCATCTTACCATTGTTCTTAATGGGACATTTCTTGTTCGAATATGTTCACTTATAGTAAATTAATTTCTTTTCAGTAAACAGAGGGAGGAGTCAGCTGCTTGCTTGTTGACATAGTTAGAAACCTTTATTGGAGGTCATTGGATTAGGTTGTTCCTAAGGCACACGATGCCTTAGTAGTGGCATAGGGTGGTTTTTCAGCCTGAAGTATTGTATGACAAACCCTGGGGCAGAAAAATTACTTTGGGATGTGGGCGAGCCAAGTGAGTGGGTCAGTCTTCGCTATGGTGTTTGCTTGTTTGTTTTCAAAAGAGTGGTTCCCAGCCATGGATGTCCAAACCAGTGCTCTTTTATATTGTATTGTATTGTAACATGTCTCTAAATATTTTAGTGAAGCGATAAATGGCAATATTCCATCGGATATGCCTATAAAATGCATATGAGTTGGATTGGGTTAGCACACCTACATTGCCCAGGCAGTCTCTATGCAGAGTTACTGGGTAGGCGCCTGGAACTGTGTGGCTGTGGGAGCACAGTGCTGATGTTCTCAGCTGTGCTCATCAGCTTGAGCATGAACCAGCTGCAGATCTGCATGTCTCAGCACTAGTTTGTTTAGGATTAGATCAGAGCTGACTTGTGAAAGGCAGATATTCTGCTTACCATAACTAGAGGGATGGGTAAGAATCCAGCACAGTCTTGGGCCTTACAGTGCATTGTTCTTCCCTTCCTGCTTGCGCAGTTATCTTTGTATATGGGTCAGTACATCACAGTGTGGTACACAGATGTGTGTCTCTAAATAGGAAGTTGTTTAGAGAGCTCTTCTGTGATTACCGCAGGTGAAAGCAGGCACCTGGGATAAATATAGAGCAGCTGATGTGCTCCCCTTGTCCAGGCATACCTGCCCTCCCTGCAGAACTTTTTTACCATGGGGAACATGTCTGAAGTTGCTTTGATATTGAGATTTTGCCCTAAATTAGGGCAAAACCCCAATATGATCATCTTTAGGTGAGCAACAGGAACAGGACTGGAGTTTCCTCTTCCCCTGTGTAGCTTCTGTATCTCTTCTACTTCTGCAGCATGCTCAAGCACAATCCGATTTGCATTTTATGCATATTTTTGACTATTTTTTGTTTAAGAGTTTTGCTCATCAATATTTTAACTCAGAGAGTTACTACTTCAGCTGATCATTCTATTGATCTTCTCCAATAGATATTTTACGAGTGAAAATTGATTGAATTTAACTGAAGTGGCAGAAGATTTAGAAACAAGATGTAATGAGGGCTCAGCCTTTTTTCTCCCCCTTATTCTCCCCTCAGCCTTTTCTCCCCCTATTTGCTTAAATCCTAGTATCTTGAGTGTAAGTGAAACAAAGCAAGATGGATAGGAAAAGGCACTATCATGTTGTAGAATTGGGTTGGATTTCCTTCATATAGCATATGTGGGCAATCTTGGCATCCTGCTGTGGACATTTAGAGGGTGGGGTACTCAAATAAGCTGAGCTATTTCCCCTTCACATTGATCCAGTAGGATTCAACATAACCTGTTTCTTGGCCAAGAGCTCATTACTGTGTTAAGTGAGTTAGCTGATAAAAGCAGTTCTCCTGCTGAACATGCTGGTCCTATGAAGCTATAAGTGATTTTAAATCTTCTGTTTTAATCAGAGAAATAAGGATTCATGTATCACTTCTGCAGGATAGTGTGTTTCCTGGCATTCACACAGATCAGGTTACAAATGAAGTGTAAGGGCAAGTCTGGCCTTCACTTCCCTGCTGAATCAGTCAAGATACCTGTTTTTGTAAGGAGAGGATAAGAGAAACAAAACCAAATACTCTTCCAAGACCCCAGAGAAAAGGGGAATCTTAGTAGTAGGAGTACTGTGAGGTGTGAACACAGAATTAATTGGGTACAAGCGGACAATTAAATTGCCCTCAAAACTGACCTGGCCCAGCTTATGCCTGGCTCTGGACACATCTATCATTTGTTGTGTTTGGCCTCAGGGCAGCCCTCAGGAGAGGGTGGTCAGAACATTCAGGGACCTGTATGCCTGGGCACATCTGGCACTGTAGTAAGTATCTGGCGCATCTAGTTAGACTCCAACACAGCTAGGCTTGTCTGGCAGCTCTATATGCAGGCAGCTGCGTCTTAGGGCAGGCATGCCTACAGCTGTTGAGCAGTCTGCCTTGTGCAGTCCATCTCAGTTCTGTTCCTGTTGTGCTTCTACAGCTATGTGCATCCCATCTTTGGGACTGCCTGTGAGCTGAGTAACTTGAAAGCAATGGGAAGTCAGCACTTTGTCTAAGCGTAAAAGGTTGTGTAACTAACTTTTAAAGGGCTTCCCAGTGTTTCTCTCATAAGAATGAAATAATGCCTGATGATAAGTTTTCACAGGGTTTTGAGGTAGATATCACACTGCTCAGAGACAGACTGTTCTGATTACTTTTGTATGGAATAATGTACATTTTAGCTACCCTTCCACCAAGTGGAAAAAGTTCAGTGGAAAACTGCACAGATGAGTGACAAACTTGTGCCACTGAAAATAAGTCCTTGACAGGTATTCTGTGTAGGACAGTGGTGATATACAGTCGTGCAGCTTCATGTGGTGGTTGCTAAAAATGAAACCTGACTATTCAATTAAAATTATGTTAAACGGTACTCTCAGGCAAATGCTTGTCCTAAGCAAAATTGCAGCTAGGGGTCTCTGTGTACATGTTGGAGGCAGCAAAATGGCAGGCTAAACTGAGTAGCAGAGTTCATGTCACTCTCAGAAGTTGTCTATTGGGAGGATTTTCTGATTCCAGACAGGTAAAATTCAGGCTTTCTGTTTCTATAGCATGTACACTTAGGCTTATTCCTGCTCACACCTTTCATTTGTGAGGACATCCAGTACAGAAATGATTGACACAGGCATGTCTTTCATTGGCTTCTCTGGGATTTAAGGTGTTCCTTCATGGATAGCCTGGCAAGGAAGGACTGGGTATGGCTGTATAATCGAGTTTGTTGTATGACTGCCAACAACAGCTACTAGTCTCTGTTGCTACTTTGCCTAGGAGTATTTTACCAGAAAGTGTCATTTAGTGGAAGACAAAGAGCTCAGATTTTAGCCCTCTGCTAGTGGTGTAAGCTCACTCTTTCTTTAGGTCTTCATATCCTTCCCGCTGCAGAGCACTTGTGGGTGTTACAATGACAGAGTATCTGTTTTTGGCTGGAAGTACTGACACTTCCTCTCATAAAAGGAATTGTCTTCATAAAAAAAGTTTGGCTGATCATAGGGCTGTATTACTAATTTGGGCCTTTTCAGCAATGAAATGTAGTGTAAAAGAAAGTTATGTGCTTTTGAGAAGAGTGAGGAACGAGCGCTGAAGTAATTTGCATGGATTCATGGCACAGCCAGAAACAGAATATCAGTTTCTTAATGCAGAGGTCAGTGGGGTTTAAGAGAAGTGGTCTTCCCTGTTAATGTCTTTTTCATATTAGCGCATGTGTTTTCCAGACTGAAATTAAAATTAATTGTTGAAAAGTGCCTGCAGTAGAGAATGTGATAAGCACCTGAGAGTGAACTGAGAAGCCATGTAAATCTCCTGGATTGGTTCAGTCCCCAGTGGCTGAGATTTTTTAGATCAAAGGAATGGAAAAGAATATAGAAGTAGAAACATGACTGCTTCCCAAATGCAACTGCTTCAGGTTTCTTTTTTTGCAGGGGACCTGACTCATAATGGAGGGAATATGTTTTTTCCTTTCATTCTTTCTGTATTTTTGGATCTGAAGATTATTAGTTTTCTTTGAAGAGTTTACTTTTTAGCTTCATGAGGAGCTGCAGATGGCTTATGGAATCAGGGTGACTATATATCATTCATTCTGACACCGTTTGCTGGCTAAAAGTGTCTTTTAAAAATCA